GCGCATCGCCTGTAAACCAGAACGTCTCCAGTTGCCCAGTGCCTCGCCTCCCCTCCCCTCCAGGTAAGATCATGACACCACCCTCACAAATATGATTTGAATGAGGGGCAGCGTCCTTGCAAATGACTCTATGGATCAAGGAAAAAGGCGCGCCGATGAGAGTTTGAAACTCAGTTACGTAAAGCTTGGTAAAGCTATTTGTCTGAATATGCTAAAGGAGGAATCGCTAGGGAGAGGCTGCCAGGGTTTTTGAAAGGTTGAAAAACAGCGGGGCAGGAGAAAGCTTTCAGAGGAAATAACACTGGGTTGGACAAGGGCAAAGGAGATTTGTGGCAGATAAGAGGAACTCAGTTCAGAAGCAAGAGTTCGGACAGGGAAAGGATTGCCCTCTGGATAAACAAGAAGAGGGTGTGACCGCCTCCAGGTCATGAAACCTGCGGATCGGGGACTTTCCCAGGCTTAGCCAATCCTCCAACTTCACCGGGGCAGCTGCCTCCATGAAGCAAGCAGGGCCCCCTGCTTCCTTGGTTCAGAAGAACACCTTGGTCAGAGTGTTGCACAAGGCATGTTTTTGCCAGGAGTATTGTTATTTCTAGCCCCGGGCTGACTGACCTCCTGCATGTTCTGGTCTGTTAGCGCCCACAGGGTGTCTAGTTTACATTCCCACAGCTGCAGGGAAACCTGTTATCCGACTCCCTGTCTCCTCCCTCTTCTGGCTTCCAGCCCCAGTTGACATGACTCAGCTAAGTAGAGATACCGGCCTGGCCAAGCCCCTGCACCTCAATGGGATTACCTAGGGTTTATGTAGACACATCCTCTAGGAGACCCAGTGAGTTATGGCCTGAGGTACCAGTTTGGGACTGAAAAGGTAGATAAATAGGTCCAGAAAACTCAGTGGTAACTGAAAAAACTGGGCCCAAAAGAGAGAAAACTGACAGACCCACTCTCAATCCCTTCTTGTCAGTCTGTCTGTCTGACCGCCCTTCGCAGATCAAACAGGAGAAGTCCCACAGCCTGGGCCAGAGAGGACTGTGTGGAGATGTCGGGGTGAAACCTGGTGGGGAGAAGATTAGGATGAAATGAACTGGAAGGACGCCCATATTAATAAGCAGTGAGCCTACTATGCGCCTGGGCTTGTGATGGGTCCCTAGAGCATCACTGATAATCCTTGGTTCGTAGTATTGACCTTCTTTTATAGATGCCTCGGAACTGCGGGAGTCAGGCGCAATACTTTTCTTAGGTTACCAGGTCCCAGATGTCATAGTAAGAGGCACGTATACCATCCTCATGGTTCATACCTTTCTGATTGAGACAATCTGCTTACGTTTGGACTAAAACAGTTAAAAGACATTGCGAACGGCCCTGAATCTGGACTCTTTTCTTTTAGAAATCACTCGCCTCACTGTTCATTTATCTGTGTGTTATTTTTAAGGCAAGATCTTGCTATGTAGCCCAGGCTGGCCTTGGGAACGCTCCTTCTTTCTCAGCCTCCCGAGTCCTGGGATCACAGGCATGTACCTCCTCACGAGGTTTTTGTTTGTTTGTTTGTTTTATATTTGTTTGTCTTTAATTCATTTATTTTTCAGAGAAAAAATGCCTTGCTGTGTTTCCGACTCTGGCCCTAACCTCCTGACTTAACCCGTTCTCCAGCCTCAGCCTCCAGAGAGGCTGGGATGCCAGGTGTGCCCTTCTGGGTGTGGCTTTACCGTCCATCTGCAGACACAGAAAGCACGTGTTTGCTTTCCTGGCACTCCATCACTCGAGGCTGAGTGCAGGGGCCTAAGGCTGGAGAGGCCAGGACCATGGCTTTGAACTTGAATTTGGGAACTCCTGCCAAGAAGAGAGAACATTGCCGAAGAGCAGCAAAGGTCAGTGTCTGCAGAAGGCTGCCTGCAGCGACCCCTAGTGTCCTAGCCGTGGCTGGCGCAACTCATCCAGTCTTGCGTCAGTCCGGTCCTGCCAAACCTATTTCTGTAGCCTTCTGGATGGTTTTGTGCGTTATGCACCATCACGTAACCAGTCATTTCTTTCCTTAGCTATGTTAGAGTCTCTATCTACGGATTTTTAAAAAAGATTTATTTATAAGTGTATGTGTGCGTGCCTGTGTGAGTTTATATACACCACATGCATGCAGGTGCCTGGGGGGGCCGGGAGAGGGTGTCAGATGCCCTGGAATTGGAGTTCTAGGTAGTTGTGCTCCGCTGGATGTGGGTACTGGGAACCTGCCCTCTGCAAGAGCACTGAACCATCTCTCCAACGCTGTCCATGCATTTTTTTTTTTTAAATAATGTGACACAGATTTTAAACTCTAACACAGACATTGGCCAAAGTCCCAGAACCAAAATATTCCAAATAAGTCAAATTGGGGCAGAGAATGCTTTCGTGAGGAATTCAGGACACAGTTCCTTCATACAAACGGTTAGCATGTTAACAGGGATGGGAAGTGGGGGGAGGTGACAGAGGGGACGGATGGGGACAGGATGGAAAGAGGTAACATGAACAGATTTGGTAGGGGAGCTGAGAGGGTGGTCATGTCGGGTAGGACTCCTATCTCAGAATAGGCTTTGGCCGATCCAAACCACAGCCACCGACACACACACACACACACACACACACACACACACACACACACACACAGGCTCAGGGGATTCAACATGGTTTTCTATCCAGCCAATTCATATGGTCATCAAACAGATTTGGGCCTGTGCACAATGGGCCCCGCAACCTTCCTGCACCTTACCTACCTCAGCAGTGTTCCTATGGCCCTGAATCTCAAGCCCAGGCCCATAGGTTCTTACCCCCTTCACAGGCCATGTTCTTTTGCAGACTGTGTATCTGCAGTCTGAATTCCGTGCTGACTTCCTGCAGCCTGGTCACTGGTTGAGTTTGGGAAAGTGTCGGGGACGACTGGGGGGTGAGGGGAGAGAGGCATGCCTGTTAAGTTTTGGAATCCCAAGATTAGCCAAGCCCAAACGGGAAAGACGGTCCTTTCCAATTCCTCAAACAGCAATGTTTCTTGTGGACGCCGTACATCCCTGCTCTTCCACTCCCAGCCACCTTGACAGATCGCTCCCCTGTATGCGTCACAGGAAGAGCTGTGGTGGGTAGTACAGGGCTTCACAGAGATTGCAGGCAGAAGGCCTTGAGAATTCACAGGGGTCCTGTGAAAGCCATTTTAGAGTTCACTAATGTAGCCATACTCCTAGATCCTGTGTCCCCCAAATAAATAATGTCTATACAATTCTTGATCCTCTCTATGGCTTTCCTAAAGCCCTTGTCTGGTCCTCATCTACCGCTGTGCTTTCTCCACATGGACAGACATGTCATATTGCCACATGCTGTGGCTCTTTAGCCATTGGGTCCACGCTCTCAGTCACCTCCTCTTCAGGTTTTTACCACACCCCTCAACTCATCATTCACCTTTACCATCTTTGGATGTGGGGGACCCAGAGACTAAAATCTGAGGTCCCCCTCCAGGGCCTCGTGGTGAAGGAACAATTTCTCTGTGTTATGGCACAGAGGAATGAAGAGCCAAAGACAAAAACAGACAATTTCCTGGCAGGCTACAAGTGTTCTCAAGGAGGTAAACACAGGCAGACGAGGCCAGTGCCTGCTGGTGATACCAATAATCCCAACACACAGGAGGCTGAGGCAGGAGGATCAGGAGTTTGAGGCCAGCCTGGATTACATAGTGAGTTTCAGAGCAGCCTCTTACATAACAAGACCCTGTCTTAAGCAAACAAACAAGTCTGGTAGGCCAGCAGTTCTCAACCTCTGGGTCACGACCTATAGGGGTCAAACAACCTTTTCACAGGGGTGGCCGAAAACACAGATATTTACATTACAACTCTTAACAGTAGCAAAATTACATTTATGAAGTAGCAACAAAATAATTTTATGGTTGGGGGGTCACCACAACATGAGGACCTGTATTATAGGGTCACAGCGTTAGGAAAGTTGAGAACCACTGCCGTAGGCAGATTTGGTGTAGGTGTGGTCTGGGGAGACTTCCTGGAGGAGTCCTTCTGCTCAATCTATGGGTATGTCACCCTTAATGGCAGTGTGCCAGGGCAAACAACAGCTTGGAACAATCGTGTGCATCTTCCTGGAGTGTTTTCCTTTTCTTGAAGAAATGAGGAGACAGTGTGTAAGCATTCGTTTCCTATAAATAGTCATAAAAGTAAAGTGTAAAGTTCCCTCTGAATTTTCAACATTAAACATGACGTTTTGAGAACTTCCTCCTGTGTAAAAGCCTGTCCTTCATATTCTCCTCACCCCTCTGACTATGGCATGACTCCTCTCTCCCGTCTCCAGCTTCCCATTTTAGTGACCCCTCCTTCCACAGAAACTCGGGGGACATATCTCCTGGAAAACATTTCCGCTCTTTTGCTTGGCCTCAAGGCCTTCCAGACAGGCCTCCCTACCCCAAAAGGTCCCCCCACCACTGCCCTACCCAGTCACTTTTTCCAGCTCTGCAAACAGGAGGCAATACGCCAAGCTACTTCATGCCTTCTCAATTTTCTCCAAGTTTTGCCATTTGCCTGGAATGCCTCCTACCCGCCACATTCATCTGGCGAACTCCTACTCATCCTTCAAGGCCTTGCTTAAGGGATCCTCTTCTGTGAAGCCTGCAAGGAGGCCCAAACTAAATGAGTCAGTTTCCTCTCATGTGCCACTCCAGAGTAGTTTTCTTTGTCCTTGTGCTGAGATTTCTTTTCTGTGACTGTTTCTCTGACTTGATTGTGGGGGCTAGGAGAAGGAAGACTTAATTATTATTCATGCATGTCTCCTTACTCCTAAACCCAGTGATGAATATGACAGATGTCTATAAACACACACACACACACACACACACACACACACACACACACACACACACGGTTTTTCAGACAGGGCCTTCTGTATATAGCGGTGTGTGACTTTTCCTGGGGAAGTGTGAACACACTCCTATTCACCCCCAAACTAGTGCAATGATGACAGAATAAAGAAAACAGTCTAGCTTGGTGAAATGATGGATTTAATTGGAGTTATTTACAGGATATTCACACCACGGAAGACATGCCTCCCTTCTCAGCAATTATTAGCCACTTGTGTATCCCCAAGGAAGGATGGGAGCCTGAGACATCTCATGAGTCCCTCAAACACCACTCATGCCACCTTGTGAGCTTTGGGAGCTCTGCCCACTTCCACATGGGGGATATTAGTAGGCCGGTCATGTGAGTATCTCATGCAGACAGCCACATGATTCCAAGATAGAAACAGCCCTGTCATGTCCAGAGCACACAGTTCCACAACAGTCCACTCTTTTCTCCAGCTCTTCTATTCTTTGCGCGCTCTCTCTCTCTCTCTCTCTCTCTCTCTCTCTCTCTCTCTCTCTCTCTCTCTCTTCTGCCATGTTTCCTGAGCCTTGGAGGGGATGATATGGACATATGATGATTTCTCCCCACTTAGGGCTGAGCATTGTTTCTACTTCTACCACAGTAATCGTCGTTCACACTTTCAATAGTAACCTCCACCCACTCTATAAAGAAGCATCTAGAGCCAAGACCCACAGGAACAGTAACCTAGGGATCTAAACATAATGTTTACAAGGCAATTTGACAGGCATATCATATCCATTTCGGGCAAGAACAGCAATAACTTCTCTACTAAAGATTTGTGTCTTACAATACCAAACGCATGTCCTTTCCTGTAAAGGGGCCTTTCCTGTAAAGTTCAACTAGAACGCCGTTGGTTGCACTCATGACAGTTGTGCCACTACTGGACCCATGGGCACATCTTGCCTGGCATGTCATAGTGTAGCATGCAGGGTCCATAACCAAACAAGATTGTAGATGACAATCCTCCCCCAGAAGTCTGCAGAATACTTTCTGGCCCCATAAAAGCAGTGAGCAAAGAAGGCTGAGTTCAATTCCAATCTGATTTCCCCATTTCTTGCAACTAAAAGTGTGTGGTGTCTTCAACAACAGGGTCTTGAAGTCTAGTGCTGGCATGCACCCAAAGACAGTGGCAATAGCCAGTCTTGTGTAGGGGCATCTCTGACCAGCATCTCATAAGATGGAGGCCCATTTTTGGCACTGAGATTTTCATTCAATAACCTTATGGCCCTGGGTGGTGGCAGTGAACACCTTTAATCCCAGCACTCAGGAGGCAGAGGCAGGCAGATCACCAAGTTTGAGGGCAGCCTGGTCTACAGAGTAAGTTCCAGGATAGCCAGGGATACACAGAGAAATCCTGTCTCAAAAAAACAAAAAAACAAAACAAAACAAAAAACCCTTACGGTTTCTGGGAATGCCTTTTCCCACCCAGACAAGGTAGCTTAATTCAAAGTCTTTAACCATTATTTTAACTTACAGGCACTAGCTGTTGTAGGATTCTTGTCAATCATCTTGTTGGGTGTCACTTACACCTTAGGCAACCATAAAACCCCCTAAATACCACCCCTGGACCTGGCCCTTGCCCCTGTGTGGACTGTTTCCCATCCTGTCTCCGTTAGGTGCCTGCATCTCTTTCCATGCTTGTCTAAACCTGTAAAACACTTGGAGATTAGCATCCGATAATGAAACCTTTTCGCAAAGGGTGGGCAGGATCTCAGAGGTCCCACCAACAACAACCACTTCAAGCAAGTGCCGGTTGATCTTGGGATTTCTCAGCTAAAGTGATGTTAGAAAATAATGTCAGTAAGGTCCAAGACAGCATGAAAATATTCCATCACTTTGCAGCAGCTGTTTCCTCAAAAGAGCAATGCTGGGAAAGCGTGATCTGATTCAGGTTTCTGTATCCCGCGGTCATTCTCCACAGCCATTCCATTTCCCCACCCTGGGTGCCGCTGCACTGTCTCCACACGTCTTCACTCCAGAAGGGTCCCGGAAGTCTGGCTCACACTGTTCCATCTGCTATGAGGCCAGCCCAGGATCGGGGCTGTACTGCTGTTTGCCACACACAGTCCGGCTTCCTGACTCTGATGGGTTCTAGGGTTGTCGCTGCCGTTCTGCTGGTCACATTTGCCTGGGCTTCGTGAACAACCTCCACCCTTGGAAAAGAAATACATTCAGCATCCTCTGGTGAGATAATTGCCCTCCCTTGGGAACACCTTACTCTGTTCCACATGTACTGGTCTGTCATTCACTCCTTTTGCCCCCACGGAGGCTCACGAGCAATGACTTTGGCTTTCTGACAGCTTTTCCCCCTAGGGACTCCAACTCCACAAAAAACTGCTACATTTGCTTTTGAGTGACCTGGAAAAGTCCCGTGTCTGCTTTTTCTTTTTCTGATCCTGTATTGCTTGCTTCGGCACTTTATGAACATGATTTACATGCCAGCAACCATCACTCAGATCCTCCAGCACTTCTCCTGTCTTGTAGAGAAAATAGCCCACCACACGGCTCAGCCAAACCACTGAGCACAGATGTCAGGCCTGAGGTCCCCGCCTCAGTAGCTTCTTTCCTGGCTCTCCTGTGCACACAGCCCTATCAGATCAGGGAACTTGATGACAAACACTGCCCCCCCCCCCCCCCGTGGGGTTTTTTCGAGACAGGGTTTCTCTGCGTAGCTTTGTGCTTTTCCTGGAACTCACTCTGCAGCCCAGGCAGGCCTCGAACTCACAGAGATCCGCCTGGCTCTGCCTCCCGAGTGCTGGGATTAAAAGCGTGTGCCTCCACTGCCCAGCTTACACTGCCTCTCTTATACCCTGCGAGTCTCCCAAGTGCTTGTCCTTCTTCTGTTATCTTCCAGTCCCTGATACTCACAGGGACCTCAACCAATAACAACCAAGTATCCCCAACAGGACTGCTTTCTCTCATATTGTCTCAGACACACAATCTTTGAGTCAAGGATGAAGGAGCAGCTGTATTACTCAGTCTCTTTGCTTCCACAGCAGCCAGACTGACGCCACGGCCCCCACCCCCCGCCCCCCGCCATGTCTCATATTCTCACCAGCCAGGGTTGGAGGCACTGTATAATTTTTTGGTCTTTTCCAGCTAAAGCAGTTCAGAGTAGCCTCTGATTATTGTGGTTTTCTGCTCTGGACCACTATCAAGGTCTCTACCTGCTTAGGTTTCCCTTCCTCTGTATTACAGAAGGGTGTCTCCTGTCCCCCCTCCCCTCTTCACTATCAGATTTTTCCCTATGGGTTCTGTGTTTTTGGATCTCAGGAGGGGCTATTTAACACAGATCTAATTGGTATTCTCTTTCCCTTATGTTCTTCACATGTCCCATCCTACGGAACAGCAAATCAGCGCCTTCCCTTTCTTCCTCTTGTGTTTCCACATTTCCTACCAATTAAGAGGCTATTGAAAAGGACAGACTCCAAACGTATTTTTCATGTTGCAGTTTGTCCCTTAGATGAGCAGGTTCTTTCTGGGCAGACAGTTGAGCTACGGTTGTATGCCTTCCCTTCACCACACACATTTGCGTGTGCATGCACACATATGTAGGCAGAGGAGAGCCTGTGGGAGTCAGTTTTCTCCTTCTACCATGTGGGTGTAGCAGATCAAGCTCAGGTCATCATGCATGGTGACAAGTGTTTTTATCCACTGAGCCGTCTTTCAGGATCATCATAGCAAATGCCACACAACTGATACCAAAGCCTTCATAGGAACTTGTCCCATATGTGCTCCTTTAGGGGACTGCAAAGTATTTTCTACCCGTCAGCCATTTGGTGGGCTTGGGCAATGATCCTCACGCTTACGTGGCAGACCCCACTCATCAGGGAGGTGTCTCATTTCCAGCACATAGAAGAGGATGGTCATGCTGGGATCCCTTCCACAGACGTTTCACCTTCAGATGACACAGCCTTGCTTGAATAGCAGCGACACCATGACTGCTACCACAGCAAGAAGGATACTAGGACATACAAGCAGGGAATGTTGTAGAATATTGTTTTAAGATGGTGACATTTGTTGATGCTGTGGAACATTTGCTTAATGATGCAAAGATGTGCTGCATTCCTTTATGCTGCATTTGTTTAACTCTGTGAAGCTGTGATGCTTTGCCTGTCTAAAACACCTGATGGTCTAATAAAGAACTGAATGGCCAATAGTGAGGCAGGAGAAAGGACAGGCAGGGCTGGCAGGCAGAGAGAATAAATAGGAGAAAATCTGGGAAGAAAAGGAAGAAGGAGCAAGAGAACAAGGAGAGGAGGATGCTAGGGGCCAGCCACACCGCCCACAGCACCACAGCCACACAGCCCCACAGCCCCACAGCCCCACAGCCACCCAGCCACCCAGCCACCCAGCCACACAGCCACACAGCCACACAGCCACCCACCTACCCAGCCACACAATCAGCCATAGAATAAGAGTGAAAGTAAGAAAAGGGAAAAGCCCAAAGGCAAAAGACAGATGGGATAATTTAAGAAAAGCTGGTAAGCAACAAGCCAAGCTAAGGGTGGGCACTGATAAGTAATAATAAGCCTCCGTCTGTGTGTATTTATTTGGGAGCTGGGTGGCAGGCCCCCAAAAGAGTAAAAACAACCAACAACCTTATGGCATGCCAACATGGGGCTAGAGTGAAAGAAAATCCAACAACAACCAAGGAAAGGTGCTTAACTCAGGATCCCCTCTGAAGATACTCCACCTTCAAATAGATCATCTTCAGCTGCATGTCTTATCATCCAGAGTGGGGGACAAGGCAGCTGCTTCTCCCAAAATCATCTTTGGTTTTGTTGTATGGTTGTTTGGCTGCCAACGGGTACATAATTTTCCAGGGGAGATGTTTAAAAAAAAAAAAAAAAAAAAGTCTGTCCACCCCAGATGGGGCACTGAGGACAGACGAAAGAAATGCTTTCAGCCAGGCCTGGCAGTGAACACCTTTAACCCCTGCACGTTAGCCCCAGTTTCCTCAGAGTCAGATGGATCTCTGTGAGTTTGAGGCCAGCTTGGTCTACTGCATAACAGGTTCAGGCCAGTCAGAGTTCATGGTGAGATTCTGTTGTTGTCCCCATCCCCCTGTAAAAAGGTGCCACTGAAATCTAGCTTGGTGAGTCAATGAATTTAACTGGGATTACTTACAGAAGCATGGGTGAGGAAGAATTTAAGAAAGCTTGAGTTTCATCCTCATCAGTACAAAAACAAACCCGAACCTGCCACACATCCCTGAAGGGGTGGTGGGGCCACATCCCGCCAGCTGTTCCTGAAGGGGTGGAGGGGCCACGTCCCGCCAGCTGTTCCAGCAGAGGATCTTTTTCTGCAGCAGTTACTGGGTGCTTGTGTATTCTCAAGAGGTGGTGGGGCCTTGGGAGCACCTCATGCACTGACTGCCTTCGTGCCTCCTGGTGATCTACCCCTGTGTCTCCACGGGAGCTTTGTGGGTCCTCTCCCATCCATAAGAAACTGTTAGTGTGCATCTCACACACAGGTAGCCACAGCGACTCTAGTGTCAAGATGGCAATGGCCACGTCATCCCTTAAGGGCAGAGTTCCACAGCAATACAGCTGACCTGGAACTGTGGATGTAGCTCTATTATGTACTATTATGTAGCTCAGGCTGGCCTGGACCTTGTGACCCCTCTGTTCCTACCACCTGAATGCTAGGATTATAGGTGTATATTACCACTTGGTAAATATATAAAAATGAATACGACTTATTTTGATTCCTCTTTTGGTTTTGGAGTCAAGATAAGGAAGTTGGCATGTTCTCACAAACTTGGAAAGCACAGGAAAAACAAAAACGCCACGATGATAAAAACAAAATTCTCTGTACCAGAGCAGGGTCTCTGGAGGAACAGAATAAATACATATATTTATACATATGTGTGTGTAACAAAGATTCTGTGGGCTGGAGCTGAAGATGAGTTGAGAACATGTTTGCTTTGTATGTGCAGGAGGTCTCAGGCTTCATCCTCAGCCCTGCAAAAACCAACCAAGACCAACGGCACTTCCTGAAGGGGTGACAGAAATGAGTGCCACCATCAAGGACTTCAAAGATGCAGGGGTGGCGGTCCTTACAGCTCCCTTTAACTCTTCCATTTGGTCTGTGCAGAAGACAGACAGATCATGGAGAATGACAATTGAATGTCACAAACCTAATCAAGCAGAGATTCCCATTGTAATTACTGTTCGATGTGATGTTCTTATTTGAGCAGATTAACACATCTCCTAGCACCTAGTATGCAGTGAGTGACCTAGAAGATGATTTTCTTCTTAGCACATGTACCTAAGGACCGCCAGAGACAAGCTGCTTTCACCTAACGAGGCCGGTAGTACACCTTTACAGTTATACCTCAAAGGTATATTGATTCTCCAGCCTTGTTCAAAGCGACCTTGATCACATTTTCCTTCCACAAATTATCACACCAGTCCGCTGTATTGACAACATTATGCTGATTGGACCAAGTGAGCAGAGGATAGCAACCACTCTGAACTCATTGGTAAGACATATGCAAATCAGAAGATGGGAAATAAATCCAACCAAAATTCAAGGGTCTTCTACTTCAGTGAAATTCTTAGGAGTCCAATGGTGTGGGGCATGCAGGGAGAGTCCTTCTATCTAAGGTGAAGGGTAAGTTATCACACCTGGCCCCTCCTATCACCAAGAAAGAAGCACAATGTTTGGTTGGCCTGTTTGGATTCTGGAGACAGCACATTCCTCACTTGGGTGTGTTACTCTGGCCCATATACCAAGTGACTTGGAAAGCTGCTAGCTTTAAGAGGGGCCTGGAAAGGAGAAGGCTCTTCACCAGGTCCAGGCTGCTGTGCAGGCTGATCTACCACTTGGACTATATGACCCAGTGGACCCGATGGTACTTGAAGTGTCAGTGGCAGATAGGGATGCTGTGTGGAGTCTCTGGCAGGCCGCTATAGGTGAAGCACAGTGGAGGCCCTTGGGATTTTGGAGCATGGCTCTCCACCATCTGCAGACAATTGTTGGCCTGCTACTAGGCCTTAGTGGAAACTGAACTTTTAAAAAATATATTGATTTTGTTTTCTATTTTATGTGCATTGGTGTTGCCTGCACCTGTGTCTGTGTGAAGGTGTCAGAACTCCTGGAGTTGCAATTAGTTGTTAAAAGGAAAATGCAAACTCCCTGTATCATGCCAAAATAAAAGAGCCATCTTCTACTGTGGGACAGGACAAAAGCCAAATTAATTAAGGGACTATTCTATTACTAATCTCAACTCTTTGATTCTATTCTGATTTTTTAAACTTTTCTTAAAGTATAAATTTTATATCAAAATTTACAAGATTAATATATATATATAGATAGATATACATTTTAAACTTTGTTAAAATATGAATGGTCATATAGAGTAGTAACTAATTCTACAAAAAAGGCTTCAATTAGCTGCATATATATGTCTTTGTGTTCGAGTCTCTTATCAGTTTTCTGTAGGAAATCATGGCCAGGCCTAACATCAACTGAAGTCTCCAGGAAGAAGATGGGGCCCCACAACAACAACAATTCCACGTGGACAATAATAATATCACTAAGCTGACAAACATCATCTACAGATCAGCTTTGAA